TCTTTTGCATAATTTTAATTACTTTAGTAGTCGATAATATAAACCAAAACCAATTATTATTATTATTATTATTATTATTTCCTTTTTGACCCCTCTCATATTTAACCCCCACCATTTTTGCTCTGCACACTCAAAGTACACCTCTCACTTTCTCAAATGCTTTCTGCTTCGGCCCGCAGCCAACTCTAACACCTAATGGGCAAAGCCTCGAAATGGTTCAGAGGCCTGCTGGGCCTCAAGAAGCCCGACCCGAAACCAGACTCCGATCCGAAACCACCGTCCAAGAGGATATGGAGCTTCGCCAAGCCCCACAGGGAAAAGCCCCCCCACAGATCCCAGCACACTACCGTCGCTCCGACTGGCTTCGCCGACGAAGGGGCCAGCAGGCACGCCGCCGCCGTCGCAGCCGCCACCGCCGCCGTCGCGGAGGCCGCCGTGGCTGCAGCTCAGGCAGCCGCCGCGGTTGTTCAGCTGACGAGCGGCGCTGGCGCTTCCTGCTCCGCAGCTCACGTTAGTCAGAGGGCCGCAGGTTATGGTGGCCGGGATGAGTGGGCTGCCGTTAAGATTCAATCCCATTTTCGTGCTTATCTGGTAGAAATTTTCTCTCTCATCTTACTCTCTCTTTCACACACTCTATGTTAGGTACACGCATTGGGGCGTGTAACAGTACACACTTTTACAGTCTTTCTCTGTTATCTAAAAACGCTTTTTGTGCTCTGTGTACTGAGGCTAGCTGAGGCTATATCAAGAAAATGAATTAGTGGGCAGGTTTTACGTTTGGATAATTGTGAAGATTAATTGTTTGGGGCTTAATCTGATTAAGAAAAAAAGTTGCATTTTTTAGAATAATTAGGCTCCTTTTAAGGTTCATGGTCACTGTTTTCCTTAAAAAAACATTCTTTTTGTGGGTGTACCTCTGTACAGGTACAAACAAATAAGAGGGCACTTTGTAATAATATCTGAATGTAATGGGTTTTTTTTAGATAATTAGGATAAACTTATGTTTAGTTACTGTAATTAACCTTGTAGAAATTTCTCTCCTCTTACCCTCTCTCTCTCTCTCTCTCTCTCTCTCTCACACACACACACACACAGAGTGTGTACATGCACACACTGGGGCGTGTAATAGTACATTTTTACAGTCTTGCTCTGTTATGTGAAAGCTTTCTTGGGCAACAAAGCTTTGTGCTTTGTGTGAACATGAAAATGAATTAGTCGGCAAGTTTAAATGTTTGGGATAATTATGAAGACTTTTATCTGGGGTTTAATCTCATTAAGAAAAAAAGTTAACCTTTTTAAACAATCAAGCTTCCCTTTAGGTTCATAGTTAGTGTATTCCTTCTAAAAGCACAGTTTACTTGGTAATTTCTAAATGTTTGGATTTCTTTTGGTAATTAGAATAAATCTCATGTTTAGTTTCTGTATCTAACCTTGCAGTTATGTGTTGGTGTCTTACTTAAATGCTTACCAGTAAGTAAAATTTTTTTCCTTTCTTTTTTTTTTTGTGGATTTATAAGCTGGCAAGTGGCAGCCATGTTTTGAAAATGGTAGATATTATGTATGCAGAGTGCTTTTTTTGTGATGTGGTCCATTTGATTAATGGATATTGGGGTTTGGTATTATGTGGGGTTTGCTTATAAATTACAATAAGCTGTGTTGCTCTTGGATGAGGTCAAAGGCTCTGGGTTGAAGCCGTGTGGACCTTGAAAAAATCTAGTATAATAATGAAATAATAATGAAATTGAAATATAAGTACCTACTTTTTGTTTTCAGTTCAAATTTGGTGGGGTGTGATGTAGATTTTCATGTACCTTTAGTCGAAAATCGACCTTTTATTTCAAGTTTTCAACTGAGGTGAAAAATCGAGCTCATGGCTCTTTCATAGTTATGGATCTGAACTTGACCCTACTCCATTTATTCTAGACATTGATACACAATTCAAAAAAATGTGACTAACTTTAAAAACTACCCTGCATTTACTTTTTTTTTTCAGCCTGCAGCTATGCAGTAAATTTTGAGTTATTAAATCATTTTTTGCCGGTTATGGTTATTTATATATACCTACCAGCAAGAAAATGATGAATGAGACACTTTTTTTTGAGCACACACTTGTGAAATCAAGAGAGTTTCTACTCCATATTTGATAGAAAGTTGGTTGAAGACTATTTAACTTTCTGGAGTGTCCTTATTAAGACTTTTTGGCTACTTTTTTTGGTACACTTTATTAATGGGGTTGGATGGTCTGGCCAAATATCTTACTTTTATTTCTGATGACATGAAAAGTAAAGTTGAAATGTGATAATGTTCTAACTTTTCGGTTCTATTATGGTTGTCTGTGAACCACTCGTGGTGCCAACATTTAGACTTAATCGTGTGGCTTAGCTTTTATGGGTTCACTTCAATGCAATTTTTTTTTTTTTTTTTAAATNATTTTTTTTTTTTTTTTTAAATGAGCCGTAGCCCAAGTTTTTGAAACAAAAAATTTGATTTATCTTCGGTTTCTTTTTTACTATTGTATTTAATTTAAAGGCAAGGAGGGCATTAAGGGCACTGAAAGCATTGGTGAAGCTTCAAGCACTAGCAAAAGGTTACCTTTGGAGGAAGCAATTTGCCGAATATTTACAACAGATGCAGGCAATTGCACGAGCCCAAGAAAGGGCACGAGCTGGTCGAATTTTGAATTATGAAACTTCTCAGTCGAGCACCAAATCTTCCAGCTTCAACAACTATAATGTAAGATATATGCAGCATGCTCATTATAAAAGGCGAATTTTTTTTAAAAACACTTCTCGTCAGACATTAACTGCATGCTATTTTGAAAAGCTAAGAACTTTAATACATTTCACGATCAAATGATAACGCAACGTGATATAATATAATACCGTGCATTGACGTAACATTTTTGCTCTGTTTCATGTTACGAGTTAAGATATGGAAAATTATGGACTTTTTTTTCAATTGCATTCGAGATTTGTCGATTCTGTTTTGCTGCACACACTTTCATGTATCGATTTTTTTTTACTATATTATATGCTTTCTTTCCTTGTAGAGCCCGGCAACTTCTGAGAAACACCAACATCTAACGACAATCAAGGTTCATTCATTCCAAGTCATCTCATTCACAATTTTATCTATTATTTTCTCGATTCTCATACTAAACTACAAAAAAATTAATCTTTTCTAATAAATACAGAGAAATATTACAAGAAAATCAGAAGGCTCGACTGGAAGCAGCAATAATAACCACCGTACGAGCCTAAAATCCAACGAGAGACAACAAGGATCATCATCCTTCACTCGAATAGTCCCGATGGACGACGATAAAAACGACAAGATTCTCGAGGTTGACTCGGTCAAAGTCAAACACGTCCCCACGACTCCCCTCAAATACTATTACTCGGGCCACCTTCATTCGCCCAACGAGGCCCAATCTTTCAGCAGCCCATTTAAATATTCGCACGACCAATTGGAAGAGACCAACAGCCCGCTTAACTACTCAGCTTCATCGGTGGGCGGAAGCTCTAAACGGGCCCACCAAATCACGCCCACCAAGAGTGACGGGTCGAAAAGCTACTCAAGTGTGTATTTGGATCACCCGAATTACATGGCGTATACTGAGTCTTCGAAGGCTAAGGTGAGGTCAATGAGTGCTCCGAAACAGAGGCCTGCACAGTATGAAAGATCGAGTTCGGCCAGTAGAAACTCAGAATTCGGTAATAATAGCATTAATCACAATTATAGTTATAATTATAATGAGTCGAGGGTTAGTGGAGTTCAGAGAGCTTCAGCATTGCATACAAACTTCACGAGCAAGGCTTATCCGGGTTCGGGCCGGCTGGATAGGCTCGGGATGCCGGTGAGAGATGTTTCGAGCTTCAGTGGTAGCCACTGGCACAGATATTAGGAAGAGTTTGGACTTTGTTTTTATGTGTTTTTTGGTTATTTTTGGGTAGATTTGCTGACGGGTTTTATTTTAGCTGGTTCTGTGGAGACGCATATGGAAAGTTTTCTTTTTGGTATGATGTGTGTGGATAATTGCTAACACGCTATTACGTTACATTATAATCATTTTGCTTTTGCCATGACATATGTTACTGAGTGGTATTTCTTGATGTGGTGGATTATGAATTGTGAGTTTGTCGTGAATTAACTAATCACGCAATGATAAACGATGATGCATATTTATTATTTAAAATATATTCCAAGCATTATATCTGGTGATACACAAGGATGTCACTGTAATATTTTGGTCAGAGGTAAATGTAATAATTTCAAAATGTTATATGTATTATTTGGTGATGTAGGCGAGACCGTGAGAGTGTAATAACGTGATAGAATGGGCAGGCAAGAGGATACTACTGTGTTGTATATAAATGTACAATATGGAAAAAATTGATATTATTTTTCTATATTTTTATCAAAATATTCAGTTGATTTAGAACATAAATTTGCTAATATTTTTATAAATAATTTATACACCAAAAGAAAAATGCCAATATTTTCATAAATAATTAATATACCTGCAGAACAATATTTATAAGTTTCATACTTTTTAATTTGTCATATTCTGAACTATTTCTTGTATTTTATTTAATAATCACTTGCAGAATAAATACATGCAAATATAGTATTATCGATTTAAAACATTGTGTAATTAGTATACTCCAATACAGTGTGTAAATAGTATAATCGAATTTGGAATATAGTAATATTTAACCAAATTATGGTTATGGAAGATAGTATAATATAGTTAGTAATATTTAACCAAATTATGGTTATGGAAGATAGTAGTATATGGTTGAGATAGTATGATATAGTTAGTAATAATTTAGCCAAATTAGGGTTATGGAAGATAGAATAATAGAGTGCTTAGTTATGTGACCAAAGGAGTATTTTTCCAAAGTTTAATCTCTCCGGAGGGATAGATTTTGTCGAATTTTTTCTATATCCTACTTGCACTTGGGACTTTTTCCATGTTCCAAAAATTGATGAAGACAGAATGGACAAATAACAATCAGCAATAACAAAACAACACCAAAGGCCAAAGGGCATATGGTGAGCAATCATACAACTTGACCATAACATAAAGCAACACAAAATCGCACGATCAAACATAACATAAACCCATGTATCATTTTCAATTAAAATCTCGTCTGATCAAAAGTGAGGTTACAAGCTAATGAGAAAAAAACAAGAAAAATCCCATGGTAAACAAATCCAAACTGCTCAAAAAGGTAACAAACAACCCACCCCCAGCTTTGTCTCAAATGTCCTTCATACAGAACTAACAAACATTTTAGGTTTGGTTTGCAAAATCTTACTATTTCAACGTTTGCCACCACCACCTCCGAGTTTGGGACCCTTTGGCATAGCACTCTTTGACACGTTGCCTTTGCCACTCTTCTGCTTGGACACCAACTCAGCCTTCTTTGCCTTCTTCTCATCCTTGGTTTTCTTGATCCTCTCCTTGATTTCACTGAGAATCAGAACAATAAACCATTCATTACCTTCACCATAATGCATTATCATAAACAATGTCGAAACTCGAAACCCTTTTTTCAATAGCATACCGCAAGGCTGCTTCACGTGCGGCATCACGGACCTCAGGCTTCTCAGTCCTTCTCTTCTGGATAACTTCCAATGTGGCGCCAACAATGGACCTCGAGTAAGGTTTCTTGGTAGCTCTGCGCCTCTTTTTCACAGCTTCGGCAGCAATGTCCTAACATATATTGCATTTTAGATAAAATGGGATTCACAAAAGCCAAAAAAAAAAAAAAAAATTGGAAGAGGAATAAACAATTGTATGGGACCGGCAAGCAATTTTACCTTCTTATGCTGCTTGCGGTACATGGCAGTCCAAGTAAGCTTAGCTGGCCTCAGGCGGTTGTGGAAGTACCTCTTGCATTTCGAGTTGGCAAAGAGGAAAACCTAAAATGAAAGATGAAGAACAAAAAGCACTTTCACACGGTGGATAACAATTAGTGGGTAAAAGAAGTAGAGCACAAACTATTGATGATACCTAGGTTACAGTAAGAGAATGGATAAAAGTGAAGACTTATGCTTTCTACTGTTAACCAACCTGTGAGTCGGATCGAATGAATCTAATGCCTTTTCCAGGGTAGATCTTGGCACCACTAAAACGGCAAAGCTCAGTCCTGAAAAACCCAATATTAATACTAATGAAACCATAGCTTTAAGATATCACATAACTCTTACATTGCAGTATGTAGTAAACACGATGATAAATATTTTTAGCCACTGTAACATGGGATATCAATCACAACAATAAAACCAAACTCCACCAATGTTCTATTACTCAGAATTGAACAAGAATACAAAACAGCACAAACAAAACATCATGAAAAAAGTAAGAGTTCCTAATATTTTTGACTTGGGATGCCAATCACAACAATAAACCAAACTCTATCAGTGTTCGGTAACTCAAACGTGGACAAGAATATGAACCGGCCCAAACAAGACATGGTTAAAAACAAAGAGTTTAAGAAGGATTGAGGGGAAAGGGACTAATTAACTCAAAACCAATGGAGTCATATTAACACCTCAAACACATTAAAGAGATTTTGATAAAAAAATCCCACCTTTTCAATTGCAGAGGAAATTAGATTCAAGCATGACAGTAAATGAAAAAAAAAATAGAAAATCAAAATAAAAGTGGGCACCTACAGGTAGGTTCCATATATTATAGCAGATTCATTANTTAAAAAAAAAAAAAACGATTCAAAGCACAAAATAATCTAAAGAATAAGAAAGGATTTTCAAAGAAACAATCACAAAAATCTCGTGAGCTCAGAAAATGGATTCAGCGAATTTGCATGAGAGGACAATACGAACTTACTTGAGAACCATGGCTGGAAGTGTAGGTCAGCTAGCCGCCCTTCGTTATTTTTCTGGAGTTGATGAAACCCTAAAGCCTCAGGGAGCGATATAGGGCTTCAAAAATGATGCATACGACGTCGTATGAATCATGGGCTGGCGGCATTCCAAGCCCATTTAGTGAATCCAGCAGTTTGGGCAGGCTCACCAACATACTATTCAAAGCCTACATGGAAAGATTGTAGCCTCTCTTTTTTTTTTATTCTTGATAATTAATAATTTTTTTTAAACGATTGGATATAGTTTTTTTACTTTTAATTTATTTTTTTAGACTAAATAAATTAGTTATATTACACAATTGTTAATTACAATTATTATAAATAATAATGATAATATTTTTAGAAGAGTGTAAAAATTAAAATAAATATATTTTTTATTTTATATAAGCAATATAAATATCAAATACAATATCACCAAAATATGAGTTGTTATATCATATATGAAAGACTAAAGAAAAGACAAATGGAAAAATTAATATTTTTAAAATGTATTTATAATTAAATCGATAAAGTGTTTTGTAGTTTTAAAACTGACATAAATAAAAGTCCAAATTTACATATTATTTCCAACTATCAAATTTTTGACAAAGAAACTGAAATAAGATTACGAAATACCCAAATGGAAACTATTGTGGAAGGAGTCCCTCTCTTCTTTTCTTTCTCCTTTTTTTGTTCTATACGATTAGGTGGTTGATTGAATGCAAATTATTTGTTTTTCGCAAAAAAAAATAAAAATAAAAAATGGAAACTCTCCATTTTCATATTTAAGAAGAGATTATGTTTTATTATTTTTAAATTATATTGATTACATTTCACGTGAATTCATAAATTTATTTTTTTNTTGCGCCACATAGCTCTTTCAAGTTGTGCGCGGCCGAGTGAAATCCAACACTCAGGTGGACCGCCGTTCCGGCACTAATTCCGGGCATACGATGTTAGATCTGGACAACTTCGGCCAGAAAATTGCTCCGTCGCCTGAATTTAGGCAGTTCAATTTTCGCAGTATTTACACACGGCAGTCGGATTTATTGCATGTATTACTCTGCTCTAATGGCGGTACTTGATACTTGATGGCGAAATTGCACACACCAAAGGTATGGCGCCTGGATGTTGACCCTGATTTGTCAGGTTGGTTTCATGATTATGCCATTCTACTTGTTTTCCCTGTCTAATTCCATGGATAAGTAGAACTGTTGGTATCAACTGTCAAAATCAGCTTGCTTAACTATGAGCATGTTCAAAGCTTGTGCACTAATCCTATTTATGTATTTCAATTTTACTGGGTTGTTTACATAGTGTCGAGATTCAAGGATATTAAGGTGTTTTGGGTGTAACAATTACATTGAACCCATGAATAAAACATAATCCATAATTACTTGATGAATCCATTAATAAAATAACCAATTTCAAAACACAAAACATAATTTATCTTAAAAATATTAAACACAAAATACATGAAAATAATAAAATTCATAGTTCTTACTTTCAATTCAAACACATTTCTTAAACACAATTAAAAAAAAAAACAACTTAGCCATTCCTCTCAACTGGATATCAACTTGTTTTTTCTTCTCCTACATAAATATAAGATACAATTATTATGGATAATTGTCATATTTAAAAAGAATAAAAACATTCATCATCAACTTCACTTCAACATCAACTTAACCATTCATCATGCTTTCAAATGGCCATCAACTTATGTTTTTCCTCCTACAAAAATATAAAGCGATTATTACGGTTTATTGTCATAATTCATTTTAAAATATCATCTACTACAATGGGAATTTACAGAAAGAGAGCTTACACATGTCATATTTGGTTTATTAAGTCCATGGAGTTGGCGAACCCAATCTGCTCCACAAATAAGAATAAGTTAGAACGATAAGGATCTAACAGTCGGGTGCCCGCACTAAAAGTGGCCTCTGAATGCCACTGTGCTAATAGAAATAGCCAAAACATCACGAGCACATGGATAAAATATTGTACTTTAGCTCTTGAGATTTCCACCAAGCCAAAGCATCAAATGTAGTGGTCCCATCCCCATCTTGACATCTATATACCCCTTCCTCCAAGTACTTGTCCAAGTCGGACTTCATAGGTGCATGCTCTTCCACGGTATCCAAATAATCATAATCATCATACATGGACAAACCGGAGGGAACCGATTTTTCATTTGGCATTGAGTTTGAAGTAGCATGATATGAATCTCCAGTCGCCATAACACCTTTTCGAGTCTGCAAATAATCATGTTCCTACTCAAAGAACAAATTATATAATGCATCCCGAACCTTGACCATGTTCGCACGAGCCTTAATCTCATTTTATATTTTGCTAAAACAAATTTAACTAGCCTCATTTTAAACCTCGGATCAAGTGTTGCTACAATAGCCAATTAGCCATCAAAAATTTGCAATGACCCCAATATTTATCAAATTTTTCTTTCATCATTTTCACTATTATTTTGATGAAATCATTAGGATGATTTTCTTTCTCGCCAAGACATGTTTAGCCAGCAAGAAGAACATTAGAAGTAGGATAATTAGTTCCGGATATCACATGAGTTGCCTCATAAATCACTCCTAAAATTTTCACAACTCTGCCACTTTCTTCCAATCATCCAAACTAGGGCAACAATGACTTTCTTTGTGCAAAAATAGAGAATGCATCCTTAACTTTAATATTTTCAACTAACATTTCATATGTAGAGTTCCAACGAGTAGGGCAATCCATGATTAACCTTTTCACTGGAATTCCCAAATAATGCACAATTTCATGAAACTTCAACAACCTCAATTCCGATTGATTAATAAATCGCACACTGTTTTTGATGGCTTTAATGATGTCTTTAATAATATTCAAACCATCTTGAACGATAAGATTCAAGATATGTGCAACACATTGCACATGTTTCTTTGGCTATACGAGTCCTTAGCCTCATACCTCTTCCAGCTTTAAAAGCGTCCTTAGCTTCATACCTCTTCCTCCACACTAAAAATTTATTGTTTATATACATATTTGATGTATTTTATTCTTTTGTGAAAAATATTTATTTCGATTATATGATTTTTTAGGGTTGATATCTTTGATGAGCTTATGAAATGCACAAAAGATTGAAGAATAGAGCACAAAGTTTTCACAAAGTTATCATTGTTGATATCTAACAATGATACCGCACTTCCAAAGAAACATTTTTCTAAGAGTCGAAAGTTAGAAACATTTTCCAAGAGTCGAAAGTTGCCGTTGGATGGTAACTTATTCCATGTGCAATGTGTTGCACATATCTTGAATCTTATCGTTCAAGATGATCTGAACATTATTAAAGTCATCAAAAACAGTGTGCGGTTTATTAAGCAATTGGAATTGAGGTTGTTGAAATTTTATGAAATTGTGCATTGTTTGGGAATTCCAGTGAAAAGGCTAATCATAGATTGCCCTACTCGTTGGACCTCTACATATGAAATGTTAGTTGAAGATATTAAAGTTAAGGATGCATTGCCTATTTTTGCACAAAGAGAGCTTGCCCTAGTTCGGATGATTGGAAGAAAGTGGCAGACATTGTAAAAATTTTAGGAGTGTTTTATGAGAAACTCATGTGATATCCGGAACTAATTATCCTACTTCTAATGTTCTTCTTGCGGGGAGGGCTAAACATGTCTTTAGACGAAAGAAAATCATCCTAATGATTTCATCAAAATAATGGTGAAAATGTGGAAAGAAAAATTTGATAAATATTGGGGTCATTGTAATCTTTTGATGGTTATTGGAGCAATACTTGATCCGACGTTTAAAATGAGGCTAGTTGAATTTGTTTTAGCAAGATATATAATGAGATTGAGGCTCGTGCGAACATGGTCAAGGTTTGGGATGCATTATATGATTTGTTCTTTGAGTATGAACATGATCATTTGCGGACTCGAAAATGTGCTATGTCGACTAGGGATTCATATCATGCTACTTCAAACTCAATGCCAAATGAAAAATCGGTTTCCTCCGGTTTGCCCATGTATGATGATTATTTGGATAACGTGGAAGAGCATGCACCTTTGAAGTCCGACTTGGACAAGAACTTGGAAGAAAGGGTATATAGATGTCAAGATGAGGATGGGGCCACTACATTTGATGCTTTGACTTAGTGGAAATCTCAAGAGCTAAAGTACAATATTTTATCCAAGTGGCTCGTGATGTTTTGGCTATACCTATTAGCGCAGTGGCATCAGAGGCCACTTTTAGTGCGGGCAACCGAGTGTTAGATCCTTATCGTTCTAACTTATCATCTAATATGGTAGAAGTTCTTATTTGTGGAGCAGATTGGGTTCTCCAACTTCATGGGCTTAATAAACCATTTATGACATATGTAAGCTCTCTTTCTATAAATTTCCATTGTTGTAGATGATCTTTCTAAAAGAATTATGATAATGATCTGTAATAATCATACTTTATATTTTTGTAGGAGGAAAAAGAGCAAGTTGATGTCCATTTGAAAGCATGATGAATGGTTAAGTTGATGTTGGAGGAAAAAGAGCAAGTTGATGTCCATTTGAAAGCATGATGAATGGTTAAGTTGATGTTGGAGTAAAGTTGATGATGGATGTTTTTATTCTTTTTAGTGAATATGACAATTATCCATAATAATTGTATCTTATATTTTTGTATGATGATAAAGAACAAGTTGATGTCCAGTTAAAAGCATGTTCGAGTAAAGTTGATGATGAATGCTTTGTTGTAGTAAAATGGAAACAATTGTTGTTGTTGTTGTTGTTTTTTTTTTTTTTTTTTTAATATTTTTCTGAAAATGAATTTCGAATCAAATATGTTCGAGTATTCTAAACGAATCGAATACGATTAAAAAATTGAGTTCGTTTATAAATCGAATACGAATACTCGAATATTTTTTTCGAATACGAATCGAATATCTTAAAATTCCATTTGATTCGATTCGTTTACAACCCTAATATATATATATATATATATATATATATATATATATATATTTCAAAACGTACTCAGCCTAAGTGGCAGGCTCGCACGTTTTAAAATCCTACATGTATCATGCTTTGTATTTAGGTTTAGATAAAAAAATTAGAAAATTGGTTTGGAAAGTGCCATAAATAGTTTTTCCACCATACATCATTGTCTCTCATCAATCTCTCTTTCATTTTAAAATTTGTTTTGCATGTAAGGATCACACAAATCTTTCTTTCCTTATTTCACTTTTTCATTTTAAAGATTAATTGAATTTAATAATTGGGTTAACAATGGATTTTTATTTGATAGTGGATCAATGCCGAGTTAACAATGTTTCTTTTATTTGATAATTGAGTTAACACAGTTTTATTTAGTAATTATTTTTTTTATATTCTTTTATTTGATAATTAAGTTAACTAACACTATATCCACATTAACTTTTTTATATTCTTTTATTTGATAATTGAGCTAACAATGTTTTCAAATGTTTGGCGCATATATGATAACAAATTTCTTAACACTCCAAAATTTTCAATTAAATTTGTAGCAGGATTCTAACACTATTAAAAAAATTTGAATGCCTAATTTTAGGTGATTTATCCGAAAGTATGTATTATGATTCATATGTATGAGATAATTTATATTTTTCCTAATCTTTGTTTGACTAATAATATTACAAACTTAACGTAGACTAATTATGTTTTACAATTAATTGATATGGGAATATTTCGTTCCGTGGATTTAATAACTTTCTACACACATCCCTGATATGCATCCCAAATGTTTGGCGAATATATGGTAATAAATTTCTGCACACTTCAAAATCTTCAATTGAATTTGTATTCTATTTATTTTATTTGATAATGGATCAATGCCGATTTAACCTTTTATTTGATAATTGAGTTAACAATGTATTATTTGATAATTAGTTTTTTATATTCTTTTATTTGATAATTGAGTTAACTAACCCAATATCTTCAGTTAACAATGTTTTCAAATTTTTGGCGAATATATGGTAGCAATTTTTTTCAATTGAATTTTTATCGGGATTCTAATACTTTTAGATTTCTTCCATTTATTTATTTTGTATATACTACAATCCTAAATTATTTCACTTTTTTTGTTCAAATTAATTTTTAATGCACCCGTGTAGTACACGGGTGTCGTATTAGTATATACATTATAAACAAAAGTTATACTATATATAATTTATAAAAATTAATAATTATCGTTAACGAATCAAATATTCAATAATTTCGAATCAAATATTTACAAATTCTGATTTGGATTCGTTTAACTTTCGAATATAAAACATTATTCGTATTTAAATATTTCGAATTCGAATCACGAATATCGAATCGAATAAAAAAAAAATCATTTTGTTTACAAGCCTACTCATGAGGTTGAACAAAGAGGATCTTTTAGTTTTGAATTTGTACCGACGATGATGATAATTTGCTCCTTATTTACATGATTTTTCTTAATTCTCTCATTGATGGGGATTTGTTTTTATTTTTCTATCTTTTTCTAGATTATAACATGCGAGAAGCAAAACATGGAAAATTTTTTATTTCTTTGTTTCCACCAGCTGATTTCACGCCAGGTAACGAGGGAAATTCGGTTTTTCCAAATTCTGCAATCATAAATCTGAGGAAAAATATCGTTTGTTCTTGAATTACATTGTAGCCCAAACCGTATACCGAACCCAAATGCTTCCTAAACAACATATTTTTTCCTCCTAAACTGAAGCAAACTACTCCACCCCCCATGAAGATTGATGCTACATCCTGACAGCTCAGTCATTTACAGTTTGGATGCAACTCAACAGAGGAACATTTTGCCTTTTCTTAGTCACTTCCCCAAGAAAAACAACTCCTCAACAAATANAAAAAAAAAAAAAAAAAAAAATAATCATTACTTGACCGGAAATCCAATTACCGATTCACAACTCTCACGCATTTCTTGCATGTAAGAGACATCAGAATTCAAGTCCCTGAGAGGACAAACAAAGCCATCTGAAGAACCTTCGAGCTTGACCGCAACATTGACCACCCCATTACCTCTCGAACCATCTCTAGCCCTTAGCCGGTAACTCAAGAAATGGACCAAACCCATTGGGGAAAACGGGCTCACGATATCGGCAGCTGGAATCAGACACCAGCCCAATTGAGTCCGGCCCATTAGAAGATTCTTGGTGTAAAGCCGAAGGTAAATTCCCGGATATCTCTTGTTTACTAAGAATTGGTCAAACGGTAGCCGGAACTTGTCGCCCCACGTGGGGTTTATCCCTCCTTTATCGTCTACTCTGGTTTTGTACGTTTTAGTGTTTATGTCGTTGCTGAGTGTAATGAAGGGCCGAATATGGCGGGAGAAGACTGGTGTGGAAGTCGACTTCTTGAGGTCTTGAGCCGATATTATTGTGATTTCTAAAATCGAGCGATGGTTACTTTGCTGCATGATTTTTTTATTTTTTTTTATTGTGGTTTTTTTTTGAGGTTTGTGGAAATGGTTGTGTTTGTTAGGGGTTAGAGTTTGTGTAAATGATGTTGAAGGGAAGATGGAGGGAGATTTCTTGGGAGTTTCTTGTGTTGGCCACAAGGCAACTTCTTGTGTGGAAAATTTTGCGGCTGGAAAGTTAAATTGAACTGACTATTAGTTTTTTAAGTCTGTAATGTAAAGTAGATAGCACACGAACTATATGGGTATATGTTGACAAATCAATTGGTCCTATAAAAGATGGAAAAGGGTTGTAGGCAATTTGATAAAGGTTTCACTTTTTCTTTATATTTTTTTGAAAATTCCTAGATGTATTGAACATTTGGTGGCCATTAGGCCTTGAGATTGAATATCCCACTTGGGTATTGAGATTTTTCTTTTTCTTTTTAACATTTTTTCCTTTGATGTAAATGTTTATTGAGAGATGTGTTTATTTATTTATTTGGTTAAATAATTTTATATATTAAATTTACATTGTATTATATTTTATGTTGTAACAACTTTTATTGTTTTAAAGTCGTACAATTGATTTTAAAAATTACAACGAAATTGTATTAAAAAAAATAAATGCTGATATGTGTCATTATGCCTGTGTAATTAATGCTTCAAAATAATTTTCATTTATAATACTGCCAATATTTTACTAAAACTAATTTAAAATGATGAGACTAAATAAGAATCAATATAAAATTAGATTTTTTTAACACTACTCTAACGTGGTGTAATCTCTACTATAACCACCGGAGATGACCTACTTGGATGCATTTGAAAATATATCTAGTGCTAACATTGGATGTTTTGTATAAAAAATATCTTTAATGTAAATAAAATAAGAATATATTTAAATGACGTGACGTGCTAAAAAATAATTAGGTTTCCATTTGAACTCATTTTATTCCATAAAAATTATTATATTAAAATAAATATTCTTTCATTTGATTGAGCAGCATTTTTAAAATAAACTTCAAAATATTGTATTATAGCAAGTTCTATCAAATTTATTATTACATTACTATGACAAATACAATAAATAAAACCCAAGAGTTATCGCCATAATTAAATTAATATGGGGCTGAAAACTCATTTCTGCTTTCCCGAAGGACTGCAATTCACAAAAAGCTTAAACCACAAGGACCAAAAGTGCAATTTATTGAAGTACCCGAGCTTCGATCTATACTGTTGAGTCTTCATCCTCAAGGCTGGGAATGGCAGCGAGTGTAGGTGGCGGAGCTCCAGTGAGCAACGCCCCATACTTCCGGCAAGTGTATGCTGATGCTTCATTTTGCATGATAATGAACTGTTTAATAATAAAAATGCCATGTTTTGAAACATTCATAGCCTCTATGAGATAATTTGTTATTTGAAATGAGTTGCCAGAATATGCTATTATCTTGTACAGGTATGACTGATTGATGTTTTTATTAACTTAACTGCTACTTTTCGTTTTTTCTTGGTGTAAGTAAAAGGATCAATTATTATTTTTTCAGGGAAGAAGAAAAGTGAGGAAGATTCCATTCATTCCCAGAGTATTAGCTCTGCTATGAACTGAACTGCAAATAAGAGATTAAGCAAGGAAAATGGTTCATAATACACATGTTACCATCCAACTCTATTCTTGTTGTAATTTATGAAAATACTTTGTTTAGAATTTGATACTACATTTGTTGTCAAATTTGGTAATGGAATAACAATATAGCATTCAAGTTGTTATGATAATTTTCACGTTTTTCTGTTGGAGCAATATGGAATCAACTGACATTCGTTTTCGCCTTTAAGCGTTTTACTGGGGAACTTCGATCTTTCCAGATTTTCTACACATGCTCGAATTTTCTTTGTTTCTTCTTCTCCTTTTTTGTGGGAAAACACAAAATCACAATTATCCTTTGATTTTTTTTTTATTTTTTATTGAAGAGATTTAAAATCAGCACAATACAGCAATCTGATTAATACATTGCCCTGGAAATAATTGGCGAAAAATTGCGAAAAATTACGATGCACTCAAAGCGAACGTATGATTTAATGGTTTCGAGCTTTTCCACGATTTTCTGGTTCAAGACTTGGACTGGTATCCGTATGGGTTCTGACTCGCCCATTTCCATTGATCTCTGCACATTTCATCTATACCGTATTTCGCCCTGAAAAGAAAGACATCGAAAAAGTATACTCACTAATCCTAAATCAGATTGCAAAAAAATCTTGGTAAATGATGAAAACTGAAAATAAAAACTTACTTCCAACCAAGCTCCTTTGCAGCTTTTTCAATCGAGGCGTAAACAGCTGTTGCATCTCCAGGCCTTCTCGGACACAGTTTAATCGGGATTTTCTGTTAACCGAAAAAAAAAAAGATAATTAACTTAATTAGTCGAGAACTAATCGTGCACTCTGTAGTGAGAAAAATCGGATGAGAAAGAGACTCGCCTTGTTGGATGCCTTCTCAAATGCAGCCACCATTTCAAGAACCGACGTGCCTTGACCTGTCCCCAAATTGTACGCAACACAACCTAGGAAAAAACGCGCATTTGTCACATGTATTAGTATATATGAACACAACAAAACATTGTCAAATTTAACAAGCTCGACAAAGAAAGAAAAATAATGAGAATTAAAAAAAAAAAAAAAAAGGTTTAATTTAATCACCTATATCCTTTCGTTCCAAAAGCTTCTCAAGCGCAACTACATGACCATCTGCTAAATCCATAACATGAATGTAGTCTCGAATCTGTTAAAAAGAAGCCTCTCAAACACACTAAACTACAAATTGCATTGTTCTTCACAAATGACTATCCAACATAATTTTCAACACAAGACTGGCTAATTTATTTAAGATCATGATTGTATATTCTACCATATAACATGTTAAAATAATTCGGAAAAAAAGTTTAATTTTATACCGCACTGCCATCGGGTGTGGGATAATCATGACCGTAAACGTTTAACTCAGGTAATCGGCCGACAGCCACTTGTGTTATATAAGGCATTAGATTGTTGGGTATCCCTTTTGGATCTTCACCAAGCATTCCACTCTCGTGGGCCCCCACTGGGTTGAAATACCTTAGCAAAATCATCCTCCATTCTGGGTCGGCCTTCTGAATGTCCCGAGCAATTTCTTCAAGAAATAGCTGATGGAATTGAAAAGAATGTTTTTTTTTATTTTGTTTTTATCATCAATAATTAACTCAAACCGCATTCTCTCTTTTATAAGAACTAAAAAAAAATGAAAAATAATATGTAATTATAAGTATGGTGAAGCACAAACCTTTGTGCGACCATAAGGATTCATGGCCTTCAATTCCGAATCTTCCAGACAAGGGATTTTTTCAGGCTGCCCGTACACTGTGGCGGATGAAGAAAAAACCAGCTACAAACAAGAAAAGTCAGAACTTCACACTGTAAAATTCACAAGATTAAAAAGAATATTAGATGAAAAGCGCATTTAAAATCAAAGAAAGATGCACACCTTCTTGCAATTGTATTTTGCCATTATTTTGTACAGATTAATCGAGCCATATAAATTGTTATCAAAATATCTCAACGGGTGAGCTACACTCTCACCAACGGCTTTCAGCCCGGCAAAATGGATCACCGCATCAAATCTGTTTAAAATGTTTCAAGAAGGATTAGACCCGAAAATCATATACATGAAAAACGATCATATAAAAACCAACAGAACCCAAAACACAATTTGCTCAACAAAGGAAACATCGAACACACTATTCTGAAAAAATCAATTCGAAAACTAAAAACAAAACGCTGATTATATAATATTTACTTGGTCTGTGAAAACAATTTCTCCAAATCCTCCACATTTCTGATATCCCCCTGCAAAAGCAAGGCAAAGAATTCAGAACTTTTTGAGAATGTGGAAATTAAACTATTTCAATGTGAATTTTCTACCGTCACTGAACATAGGTCAGGAATATTCATTCAGAATCCTCCTAACATAACTTGATCACTATATTACTAACCACCACTTTACTCAAATAGTTGTTTGAAACTGTTAAACCAGAAAGGGGTAGGTTAATTGTCAAAACAACCCAGATAATGTTCAAATTTACAAAAAAAACTCTCCAACAGTTTGATTTGGCCATATTTTCAACACCCATATGAGATTGCAAGAGATCACCACTAGTCCAGAAAATTGCAAGGACATTCAATCAAACAGTTACAGAACAGCAAACCCAACGTATCATTTCACAAGCTAACCAAAAACACTACCAACAAGTCCAATTCTTGAAAAACACTACCGTTCAGGCTTGGGTTAATTGCAAAACAACCCATAAAATGCTCAAATTTACAACAAAAACTCTCCAACAGTTTAATTTGCAATATTTTCAACTTCCATATGAGATTGCAAGAAATCACCACTAAACCAGAAAAATTACAAGGATTCAATCAAACAGTAACAGAACAACAAACCCAACATATCATTTCACAAGTTAACCAAAAAGGCAAAACCACTACTAAGAAGGCCAATTCTTGAAAATATTAAGAGACCCCCCAAAGAAAAGGAAGATGGAAGGAACAAGAATCGTGGGTACCAAATGAAAGTCGAGATTCTGGGAGAGGTGAGGCCCAGCCAGCTGCCTGAGCCGGTGAACGGCTTCCTCGACCGCATTGTCGAGGTTGTCGACGATCGAAACCTTAAACCCCTGCTTCAAAAGCTGCAGCACCGTGTGCGTGCCGATGAAACCAGCTCCGCCGGTCACCAAGATCCTACCTTTTTCATCCACCGCCATGCGAATTTGCCCACACAAGATGCTGATCAACAAAAAGAAAGAAGAATTACAGCTCTCGAACGAATTTTAATAATAAATTTGTTGATTTTTTGCAGGGGTTTTTAAAGTGTGCTGTGGGGTTGTTCTTTCACTGCGAGAGGGTGTTGATGGGTCAATATCGAGGGAGGGGGAGAAAGATCGAGAGGAAGTTGAGCAAATCAAGGAAATATTTTTTTGTATTTATAGTGTAGATAAGCATAATCTGAAATGAAGATCAGCATTCAGCAGGAGGACACAAAAGGTGTGGGGGCTTGCTAAAGGATTTTTTTTATTATTATAATATTTGTTGCCTTTAAGTCGAGGTGTTGCTTAAAGAAAAATAGAAGGCCTATAGTTTAATTTAGCAATTAGCATGCTTAGAATTAGATATGCATAAGGGTCAAGGTCAACAAAGTTAAGGATAAAAAATTTGAATCGTGCAATTCGGTACTATTCAATTTGGCCGTTATTT